TTTAGGACTTAGGGTTTAGGATTAGGGTTTAATGTTTAGGGTTCAGGGCTTAAGGTTTAGGGTTTAAGGTTTAGGGTTTAAGGTTTAGGGTTTTAGGCTTAGGGTTTGGGGTTTAGGATTTAGAGTTCTGTCGCTCATCGTATTGGCTCTTAGCCGGGAATAAGGGATATGATTCGATCCCTATGCTCAGAACCACTAAGGCAGTGAGGTCAATCCGGGAGCACTCCTCAGGCAAGACCACATCACGTGACTCTTCCGGAATTTTGCTCTTGACGAAATCCAAGATCTTGGTGACCATCTTGTTGCTTACCTGTAGCAAGCAAGCGGATGACATAACATCTGAAACCCTAAATCCTAAACCTTGAAGACGCGATAAAAACTAAAATGAATTTGCGTCAAACTTCCTTAATCTCAAATTTTTTAATTCAAATAAATCAAAGGAAAAATAACACCCCCAGGCCCCCCTAAGTAATTGTCACAAACCTAAACCCTACGCCCCAAACCCTAAGTAATTCTGATAAACCTGAACCGCGCCTCATCTTCAAAGAAAATCAGGTTCCCGGGCTGCTTTGCCTTCGTGGCGTCTTCCACCGTCTGGACATCCCCAACCTTAGGGTTTTAAGGTTTCTTTGTTGCTTTGCTTTGCGTAGCTGCTGGCTCTAGGGTTTTAGGGTTGAGAGGTTTAGGGTTTGGGGTTTTGGGTTTAGGGCTTTGGGCTTATTTAAGAATTAGGGTTTATAAGGGAGAGTGGGGGAGTGGACCCCTACAATAGGGTTTAGGCTTGCAGGAGTGGATCCCTACAATAATCCCTATATAATCCCCATGTATACCCCTAGAATTTCACCCTAAACCCTAAAACTATGTTCCCTCCACCACTCTCTCTTAAGCACCAGCAGGCAACGTGATCTCGGAGGAAGGAGCCAGCTCCGAGGTGGTCGAAAGCTCCATCGTAAAGCTCCACATCCCCATAGCCTGGGCTTTGCTTTTAAGGAACTTGTTTTTTTATGACCGCCATGCGCTACCGATGCTTTTGCTGTACATGGA